GAGAAGTAAAAATATTGCTTCTGCGTTTTAATATATAATTATTTTTACTTTTTAAGGTTTCTGGACAAGGCTGCAATCAAAGACCCTAAAATATCTGCGGTGAATAAGTGGAACCTTTCAACTTTAACCGATGTTGAAGAAGTCAAGTTAGTGGTTAGAATGCTACCGGCATGGGCCACAACAATAATGTTTTGGACTGTCTATGCCCAAATGACCACATTCTCAGTGTCACAAGCCACCACCATGGATCGACATATCGGAAAATCATTCCAAATTCCAGCTGCCTCCCTCACTGTATTCTTTGTCGGCAGCATTCTTCTAACCGTCCCAATTTACGATCGCATCATTGTTCCGATTTGCAGAAGGATTATAGGGAACCCACATGGCCTCACTCCATTACAACGTATAGGAGTCGGCCTAGTACTATCAATACTAGCCATGGTTGCAGCAGCGCTTACCGAAATTAAGCGACTAGAGATCGCCCGTAGACATGGTTTAAGAAACGACGCGATGGCCACGGTACCATTAAGTGTCTTCTGGTTAGTCCCACAATTCTTCTTGGTGGGGGCCGGTGAGGCGTTCACCTACATAGGACAACTTGATTTCTTCCTAAGAGAGTGTCCTAAGGGGATGAAGACAATGAGTACCGGGTTGTTTTTAAGCACGCTTTCATTAGGGTTTTTCTTTAGTTCCATTTTAGTTACTATAGTACACAAGGTGACAGGTGACAAGAAGCCGTGGTTGGCTGACAACATTAATCAAGGAAAGCTCTATGACTTCTATTGGCTTTTGGCAATTTTGAGTGTTTTGAATTTGGTAATATATACGGTTAGTGCAAGAGGGTATGTGTACAAGGAGAAAAGGCTTGCTGAAGAGGGGATTGAGATGGAAGAGACAGATGGACCTAGCTGCCATTAATTGCTGTTTAGTGTCTGTATCATTATGTGGTGATTTTTAACTCAAATTATAGACTTTACAACTTTTTTTGTTTTTAACAAAAGTTTGGATACGAGTGGGGCACTCGTTTTCTTTTTCTTTTTTCAATGTGACATAGCCAAAATAATGAAAATGTTGTGAGGTTGTAAGTGTTTGCAAGTTGCAACAGACTAGTAAAACGACAGTTGAAGTTCATAGATCATTGCAATGCAAGATGAACAAGTGACTTGGATATTAATATATACACTCTATTTTTGTGTGAAATTATAAGTTATTAAAAATTTACTTTTTTATCTATTCAATGTTGAACATTATTTCAACTACATATTTACTATCATTTATTAGTTACACGTTTTGTGAACTTAATAATATTCTTTTTTAAAAGTTACTAATAAATTATCCAAACACACGTATGATGTTGAATTCACTGGACAATTGTAGCTCTTAGTTAGAATACAAGCGCTGCTATCTTTTGTACTACAAATGACATGCCCACATG